AAGGGAAAAAATAAAAAATATAGAATAAAAGCATAAGAAGAAGAGGAAAAATATACTAAATTAATTTAAAAATTTTGGAAGAATAAAATTAAATAAACAATACTTAAAAAAGACTAATAAATAAAATATTTAAAAGAAGAATTGTAAGAAAAAGAAAATAATAATAATAAATTAGAATATATAATTAATAAATAAAAAAATTGAAAAAATAAATAAAAAAAATAATAATTTATTTTTTTATATTTTTTTCTAAGAAATACTTTTATATATAATTAATAATTATATATTAAAATATATATGTATACGCGTATAATTTACTTAATTTTGTATTTTTATATAAAATAAATATTTATTATATTGTTTTTAAATATTTATTTATTAAATTTAATTAATATAGTTATTATTTTTTTAAAAATAAATAATACATTAAATTTATATAAAATTATATAGCTTTCTTTTAATTAGCTTTTTAATATATTATTTATATATAATTTTTTTTATAAATATATATCATATAAAATTTTTATAAAGTTCATACTAAAGTTATTTAACTAAAAACAAATTAAAAATTTATATTAAAAATACATTAAAAAAATAATATATATATAATTATGAAATAATAAAAGCTTACGTAATATTAATTACTAAAGTAAATTGGTGAAGAATATAAAAAAAAATAACAAGAATCACTCGAATAATAAAAAGTATTACAAAAACAAATAAGAGATGTCTAAAGTTTACGAAAGGAAATCGAAGAATACAAGAATATAATATAAGAATTTGACTAAAAAAAGAAAGACTGTGAAATACAAATGAGAGATTTATAGAAAAAACAAGAAAATCTAAATTCTAAAGAAAAAGAACTATAAAAATTACATAATATTTAAATAGAATAATAATTTAAATTACTATAAATTTAAAATTAATTATTAAACAAATAATAAAAGAAACTTCTATAAATGGATTAAAATAAACAAAATGAATAGTCTAATTTATAAAGTACTTAAGAAACTACGGCTACAAATTATATAAGAAAATCTAAAGATTTTGTTTCTGAATTAAACAATTTTTAAGTAGATAATTCTAATTTAAATTATTTAACATAGTTGTTTGATAAATAATTGGAAATAATTAAAGGTTCTTTAGACAAATAAAATGGAACAAAAATATCGAACAAAAAGGAATGTATTGATTTAACCAATTTAGGTCAAATTAAATAAATAAAATCTAGTAAAATATTAAAATATGAACTTGTTGAGGAATAAACTTTTGAGAGAAAAAAAGTTAAAAAAGAATCGAGTATTTATTAATTAGCAAATACTATTATAATTGAAGATAATGAATATTTATAATAAGAAGAAATTTTTTAAAAAAGAGATTTAAAATCTTTTAATATTAAAGATTTTTACGAGAGTCAAATCATTTCTCATCAAGAAATTAATTTTTTAAATTAAAATAATGAACAATAGAATAATAATACTTAAGTAGAAAAAAATTAATAATAACATAATAATACGCGAATAATCTTATATTTAATAAAAAAATAACATTTCTTATAGTTAAATTTCTGATTAAAGTATTATTGAATAGTTTATTATATAATTATAATAAAGTTAGAATAAAAACCCAAACTTTAATCTAAATGAAGATCTTTTTAAAAAATATATTAAATAAGCTTTCATTAAAACGAAGATAGCTCTATTTAAAAATTTGATAATGGTAATTAAAGCAGTAATTCGAATAATAGAGAAAATACTTTAAATGATTTAAATGAATAGATTTTAGGTTATAAAGATAAATATTTTTATTGATTTTTTTGTTTTAAGTTTTATAATAAATATTTTATATGTATAAAATTTTTTATAGATTTTTTTTTTTTTATAAATATATTTATTATTTAATTATTTTTGTCTAAATAAATATTTTTATCAATTTATAATTGTAATTTATAAATTTAAATTATATTCTTAAATATATTTATTTTTAGTAATATATTTATAGTATTTCTTTTTATGGATTTAAACATTCTTTAACTTTCAAAAAAAATTTTTAAGCATGAATAAAGAGTATAAAATTTAAATGAGTAAAATTTAAAAGACCAAATAAAATAATTTAAATATCCTTTTGATGCAATACTTCCTTTATCTATAGCAGAAATATATATAGATAAAGTATCTTGGGATAATTTTTAAGGAAGTCCTTAATAAATGAACCATGATGCATATATATATTGGTTTATAAAATACGATTATAATACAAGTAGAAAATTTGATTAAGAAAGCAAATAAATGATTTATATAATTCAAAATGTAAATATATAGGTAAAAATAAAAAATAATTCTTGGGTGAAAAAAAAGTCTAAAAGACTTTTAAATCATGAAACTGGACATTATATAATTGGATGTTTGTGCGCTTTAGAATTTAAAAAAAGGCTCTTAGAATAAATGTAATATACAACTAATCATAATAATGAAATATAAGCCATTTATAACAAAACTACATAAGAATTCTATGAGTTTGAAAAATAATATGATAAAGAAACTAATCATTATAAGAACTTGTAAGAATAAATTAGATGGAATTTTATTTTGACTGAGAAAATTATTATATATAAAAATTATTTTAATGTTGATAAAATTAATAAAACCAATTATATTTTATGTTATATTAAAGGTAAATATTTTATACTTTTACTTATATATTTCTTTTTTTTTTATTATTAAGATTTAATTGATAATGATGAAAAAAATTTTCCTTTATTAGATAGTCTATTTTTTATTTTGATTAATATTTTTATATTTAGAAAATTTAAAAAAAGTAAAAATCTTAGCTTTTGGTTAAATTTGGCTATAATTTATATAAGCTTTTATAGAGGAATAAAAACTAATATAATGACTAATAAATTATATTTTTTAATTATAAAACTATTAAGTTTAATTAATATTTATATATATAACTATAAATGATAAAATAAATATTTTATTATTTTATTAAATAAAATAAAAAAATTATAATTTTTATAAAACATAACAAAAAAAATGTTATCTAAAGATGAATAAGAATAGTAAGCTAAATAAGTCTTATTAAATTTAGAAGACAATTATAATAATACATATCTTTAAGAATAAAATTAATATGAAATATTTTAATAAAATTAATAAAATAATCTTCTTTCATAAGATAAAGGATCGAATACATATAATAAGGTTATTAGTAAATAAACAAATTAAAATTAAATCAAATATTAAAAAAAATTATAATTTTTGGGAGATATTAAAGAAAAAAAAGATTAAATTTAAATAAGATAAACTTAATCGTAATAAACATAAATTTAAAGAAGAAGTGAATGTTTTAAACCTTAATTTATATAATAATAATAAAACTCATACTTTTTTTATGGTTAACCAATAAGTTAAGAAGAGGAAAAGTAAAAGAAAAATTAAATTGAAATAAAAAAGAAAAAAATAAAGTTTAGAATATTATGGAAAAAATAATATATATAACTAAGCAAATAATTCTTTATAAGAATATATTTCAATTAATCAACCTCAAGAAAGAAATTAGAATGAGAAAAAAATGAAATACATATAGGCACATTATGAAAATTAATTAAAAAAATAGGCTTTTTAATAATTTTTGGATTAATATTTTAATTAAAATTTAAAAGATTAATAAAAACAATATTTTTCAAATACGAAAAAATCAATTCAAATAAAAATTTTTTATTTAAAAATTAAACAAAAAATAACTAAAGTGGTAATAAATATAGTAAAAATAGTACAAGTACTCTTTTATTGAAAAATAAAAAAATAGTTTAACTTTATTAAATAATAATTAAAATATTTAATAATAATATGTTAAATATAATTATTAAGAAAAATAAAAATAAATTATATTTAGTAATTAAATTTAATAATAAAAGTTACCAAATTTACACAAACATGTATTATATTGAATTATCGTTTTTTTTTTGTTTTGTAAAAATTGAAAAATAAAAATAAATTTTAAAAATACTTTTTTTTTTTAAAAAAAAAAAAAAAAATTATTATATTTATATATATATTTTTTTTAAATAAAAAAAAAAAATATATATAAAAATATGAGATCTATAAAATCTCAATTTTAAAGTTTACACAAAAAAGAAAAGGAGCATATAAAATATATAGAAGATGATAAAGATAAATACAAAGATACAAAATAATAAAATGAAGAAGACGAAGAAGAGCTAAAATAAGAACAATAAAGAAAACAGTAAGAGCAAAAACAAAAAGAGACCTAAGCAATATCAAAAAGCCAAAAAAAAAAGAAAAAAAAATTAAAAACAACACTTTAATTTGAAGAGTAAATCGTAAAAAGCATCGACCAAAATGCCCTATTAAGACGTTGGGATGTTAAATTTATAGATATAAAAGTTTAAAGTTTAATAAAAGAGCCCATGAATATATTTATTATATTTAAAATAGGCGTAAAAAGTAATAATAGGTAAAAAGATCCAGATATAGTAATAGAGAAAAATTCATATAAAGAATTTTATACAGAAGTAGTAAAAAATTTATAAAGAGATGAAACACGATATTTAGATAAATGTAAAGAAACAGAAATTCATGCTAGTTATAATATGCTAAAAACAACTTATTTAGAAATCGAAGTTTGGGAATATAATAGATGGTCACTTAATTGTTTTTTAGGAAAATGTAGAACACTTCTAGAAGATATAGCTAAAGGGCATATTATAAGAAGTTTTGTAGTAAGAAGGTAAATAAATATTATATATATGAATAATAAACTAGATATAAATATATAAATATATAATTATATTTATATTTATATTTATATTTATATATTATATTATATATTATATCATAGATCTTTTAAAGATAAAAGATAATTTGTAAGAATTATTTTGTCAGCTTATTTTTAAGAAATATGGGATTTTAGAATCGATTTTGAAGATCTTTAAGGAACTAATACAATAGACAAACAAAATTAACCAATTAGTTCTTATTTAAAACTTACATTAATGGACGATAAAAAATCTAGTTTGAAAACAAAACCGACTCCAAATAAAACGAAAAATCCTACTTGGGGGAATAGTGAAGATTTTGCACATTTTAGAGGAACATTAGATGATTTAACTGATTTAATGTTACTTGTATTTATTTTATTTTTATTTATTTATAATTAAAAAATAAATATATATAAAAACCTAAGGTATCTATTAATTAATAAAAATTATTTGATATAAATAGTGTTATTGATTCTAGCTAAAGTTAAATGTGTTCTTTGATAACTTTAAGAGGTATAGATTAATATAATAATATAAATGCAGTAATAAAGTTAAAAGTTGATAAAAATAAAATCAATAGTTTAAAAAAAAGTCAAAAAGATTAAAATTAAGAATAAAATAATAATGAAGAAGATGAAAAAATTTATGATTAAGAAGATATATATGCAACTGTAGATGGAAGAATTAACTTAAATGAAATTCCAAGGTAAATATATAAAGAAATAATAAATATATATATATATAAATATATATATAAATATATATATAAATATATATATATATATACTAGGTATATTTAATAAGGTGAATTAGTTCGATATTCTTCTGAATAATTACATTTGTGTATTATTGTTAATAGAGTTAATAATATAATGGCACCTGATGATAGAGGTGTTATTAATAGTTATGTTTAAGTTTAATGTTCTAATGAAATTAAAAGAACTAGAACTTTATGTAATAACTTCAATCCTGATTTTGGTGAAGAAATGATTTTTAAAATTCCTCTTTTGAATAATAAATCTCTATTTTCATAAGTTTTTATTTTTATAATACAAATATTTATAAATTATATTTAATATTTTATATACATATAAAAAAAGAGTAATAAAAGTAAAGATAAAGAATATGAATATAAATTAGAAGCATTAAGAGATGAATTATAAAAAAGAAGCGAAATAAAATTTTAATTATGGGTAGAAGGAGACTCTATTACTTATGGAGATAATTTAGGTTAAGTTTCTTTTAATTTATCTGAAATAGGATCTACATAAACTTAAATAGAAGTATAAGACAAATCAGTTATGGATTTTTTAAAAAAGTAAAAAATATAAATAAAATAAAAATAAAATAAAATAATAAAGATAAATTAAAACCTATAAAATAAAATCTGCAAATTTTACGAAGAATTTTACTTCTAGTAGATTTGACGCAAGTCGTATAAATATTACGTTTTCTGTATTTTTTTTACCTTAATTACCCGAAAAAATTGATTTGAGAGATTTGTAAGCACAAAATTATGACTAATACCCTTATGAATTGAAAGATTTAATGAAAATTCCACATAATGATTATACAAAAAATGTTCTTTATAAATAATGGGATAGTGATATAAAAAAAGCTTTCCAAAATTGGAATTTATAAAAAAATGAATGGACAATTTTTAAAAATGTTTTCGTAAAAGATCATTATGGAAGAATTCATTTTATTTCAAAATTTATTGAAAGATTTTAGCTTTCGAAAAGTAAAGACCCTGATATGTAAAAAGATCTTGAAATTTAAGACTATTATTTAGAAACTCTTTAAGATTTGGCACATTATGTAAGATGTATACCCTATACTGATATATATAGTAATGATGTTTGGTTTTCTTCAGATTTCTTTTTAAGTTTAAAAAGAGGGTCTATTATTGATCATGCTTTACTTATGGCAGGTTTATTAATATTTAATTAAAAAATAAATATTTATATATGAATACATTCATTATATTTTAATATTATTAATTTTTTTTTTAAGGTTTATTTATTGCTTGTGAAAAAGAATATGATGATGATGAGTTTATAAATGTACTATTTTTTTTATTATTATTAAAAGTATTTATTTATTTTTAATAAAGGACTTATTAGATTATGAATCTGAATAAGTTCCTTTGGATGATAGAGTATTTGTATGTATAGGAACTAATTAAAATTTAAGTATAACTGCATGGGTAATGGTATTTAATTAAAGATGTGATTCAGTAACATTTTATGATGCTAAAGAAAATCAAAAATTTATATTAAATGGAAGAGTAAAACCTGATTAGGTATAATCTTTAAAAAAACATTTATATCCTGATCTGAAAATAAAAGGATAGTCTAAGATGTTTTTTTTTAAATAAAATAATAATAATAATGAAGAAAAGAAATAAAAAAAAGAAGAAGAAATAAAAAAATAACAAATAATCGAATAAAAATTAAAAGAAAAAGAATAAGAAATATAAAAAGAAATAAATATAGAAATTGAATAATAAAACAAACTAAAATCTATTTTAGAAGAAGAAAATAAGCAAGATTATGATAAAAATTAAAAAACTTAAATTTAAAAAAACTTAGAATTAGTCAAAAATGCTAATCTAGATGATATTGTAAGAACCGAAATTATTTTCTCGAGCGATGTGATTAATAATAATGGAAAACCTCGAAATTTATTAAAACCTTTAACTCGATATACATTATAATCTAATTAAAATGTCTTAAATGCAAATAATGGAGAAAATGCTAAACTTTTATCTGTTAATAAAAACATATAAAGTGAAACTAATAATAATTAATTAAATACTAAAGAATTAAATAAATCTGTAGTATAAATAACCTAAATATAATAAGATTAAATTATAGATAGAAAAACTCTTAAATAGAAGTAATTAGATAATAGAAATCCATAGTCTTTTTTAAATTAACATAGAATAGAACAAAATGAATAAATGAATTAAGATTAAAAAGCTATTTTTAAAAAAGCAGAAATTTTTATAGATCCAGTTACTAAAGAATAAATTTAAGAAGAAGAAAAATTACCTTATAAAGCTATATAGATTATTTTTAATTAAAAGAATGTTTATGGAAATATCAATAATTAAAATCCATCTCAAATTTATTATCATTTACATGATAAAACTTAGTGGAATCCTTTTATTAAAGATTTTAATTAAAAAGTTATTTATATAATTATAATATTTATATAAATATATATATATATATATACATATTTTATATAAATTATAAAATTAGATAGGAAGTTTTTTTATATCAGCAAATCCTTTTCCTAGAATGAAATAAACAGAAAGTTAAGAAAAATACGAAAAAATTATCAAAGAAATAAAATATGGAATAGCAAAAATAAGAAACAATCAAGGATTAACTGTTAAATGGAAAAACTAATATGATAAAACAAATACACTTTTAAGAAAACTTTCCAGAATATTAGAATATAAAGAGAGAGGTAAAAATATTAATAAATAAATGTATATAAAAAATATATAAATATAAAAATAAATATATATATATATGTATGCATATATTAAAAATAAAATAATATATATATATAAATTTATATTTATATATATATATTTATTTTTATTTATATTTTTTTTAATTTTATAATTATTCATAATATTTCATCTATTTAATATATATGATTATTATTATTTTTAACTTTATTATAATTTTCATTATATAGAAATCTTATTAAAAATTTTTATTTAAGCTCGAAAATATATTCATTTCTTAATTAAATATATATAGTAATTTTATTATAAAAAAATCTTTAATTAATATTAATATTTGTACTTATCTTTATTTATTTCATTTTTAATAAAAAAAACAGATAAAAAATTTGAAGAAAAATCTTTTGAATAAAATATGGAAGATTTTGAAAAAGACATGAAAAGGTTAATGCCTTTAAATTATCATTTTTAGTGCCTTCCTATGAAATTTCTATACTTAGAAAAAAGTTAAATTAGGTCATTAATAGAAGAAAAAGCTTCATAATTTATACTACTAAAAAAAAAGAATATGATTTTTGGTGTTAGTGGGAAAATTTTCTGTTATTAAAATGGGATTAATCCTGTAAGAATTATACTTGCTATCTATTATAATAAGGCTGAAGGAGTATTCGATAATGAAGAATAAAATAATTTAAGTAATATTTAGGAAGATTAAGATGAAGAAGATTTAGATGATGATCAAGAAGATGATAATTTATATTAAAAAAATTAAAATTTATGAATTTTATTTTTTATTAAGTTAAAATAAATAATTTAAAGTTATCGTGTTTTATATAATATTTTTTTCGTTTTTAATTTATAAAGACTTTAAAAATAAATATATTTATTTTTTAAAATAATTAAAGTAAAAAAAAAATTAATTAACTGTTTAAAAAAACGAAAAAAATTTAAACAAAAAATATGAATTAAGTCAAAGATTTCTCAATAATAAAAAATTATTGCTAAAGATTCAAAAATTAATTCAGTACTTTTAAAGATTTCAATTATGATTAAGCCATTATATATTTAAAACTTCGAAACGAAGGTTGTGATAAAAAGTAAGCTATTAATTTTACTTAAAAGCCTATTTGTAGAATGGATGTAACAAGATAAAAATTTGGCCCTTCTTCATTAAGAGTTTTAAAACCATCTATTATTTGTAATAAAATATAAGAACCAGTAGGATGGACTCAATAAGAAAATTTGAAATATTCACTTGGAAATAAATATTAAACTACTTTATAAGAAGTTATAGGTTATTAAATATTTTATAATGACAATTTTTTTATTGTATTTTTTTTGAAAAAATAGGAGATTAGAAATTATAAAATGAAGTGGAAAACGCGCTTAATGCATAAGAATATAAAGAAAAAGAAAACTTTAAAATTAAAATAAAAAAATTAACTGATTTCTATTCTACTTCGAATGAAAAATACAATTTTACAAAATGCAATAAGCAACAACTTATTTAAAAATTAAAAAACTTATAATAATAAAATAATTAACTTAATTAAAAATAAGTCAAATATATTAAATTAGGTTAATAAAAGCTTTTTGAAATTGTAGATGATTATGTTAATGTATAATAATAATTAAATACACCAATTAATAAATTATAAGCTTTTCCATAATATATATGTGATATAAAAGTAAAAAATTTTTTTTTTTTTTTTTTTTGATTTTTTTTTTTTTTTTTTTTAGGTAAAATAAAAATAATATTAATATTTGTTTTAAACTAAGAATAATAATAATTCAGCTCATCCAAAAATACACTAAGATATAAATATATAAACAAGTCAATAAAAAATAACCGAAAATACTTCATAAAAAGATAAAAATAATCAGTAAATATAATAATAAATTTTATTATAGTAATAAGAAATTAAATAATAATAAAAAAAATAAACAGAAGATCTAATCAAAAAAAGATAAGAAGAAATCGAATAAATAATAAAAGATGGAATCTATGTAATCAATATTACATAAACAGAAGATCTATCTGACCCAGCTAAAAAATTAAAAATGAAACAAAATCTAAATAAATAATACTTATGTTCATAAAAAGCATTATTAGCTTTAGAATTTAATAAATCAAATTATATTTCTTATTAAAAAAAGGAATCATAAGAAGAATATATAAATAAAATTTTATAAGCTTAATTATCTTTAAATAATATAAAAAATTTACATGATCACAATTGTTCTTCTTTAGGCTTTTCATAAACTTCAAAAAGAATAAAAAAGAATTAAAATTAGTAAAAAAAAATGCATGCAAATAATTTATCATAAAACTCATTTAAATTAGATAATATAAAAAATGAAAATTAATGGCGTTTATTTCGTTAAAATATTAACCGATTTGTTTCAGATTAGGTTAATTGTATTAATTAAAAATTTGATAAAAATTAATAAATTTAAATTGATGATACGAACTTTGTATAATTATACTCTAAACTAGATTGTATTAAATAAAAACTTTTCAATAAATACTAATAGAATGATTTTAATATGTAATCCAATAGAAATTCTAAAACAAGTTCTAATTTTAAATTTAAATAATTAAATAATAATAATAATAAGTAATGTACTAATGACTTAAATTAAGATTAAAAATATTAATATAAATCTCTTTTAAATTCCTATAAATCGCATTAGTCTAATTATACTTAATATAATTTAATTAATAAGTAAAAAAATGTCAATATTGAAGAAAATTAAGATAAGGGTAATTCAAAAAATAAAAAAATTATTGTTTAAAGAGCTCTTAAAAATAATTAAAATGATAGTTCATATCCCGATATTCATATTAATAGATTAAAATACTTTTCTTTATAAAATTAAAATTTTTGAAAAGCATATCAATAAACAATAACAATGGTTGTAATTTTTTTAAAAATAATAATATAAATTAATAATACATACTCTTTAAATTATTAATCAATATAAAAAAATAAAATTTTAATCCTAATATAATTATTATATATTTATTTATATATATATATATATATATATATATATATTTTTGTATTTTAATTATTTTAGATATATATATATATCAATTTTTAAAAATTAACTTTTTTAGTTAAAAAAAAAAAATTCTAATCGAAAAAATAAATATTTGAATATTTTATAAAAAAAACTTATTTGTATATGCTTTATATGAAATATTTTTTTTAAGATTCCTTTATATATTTAATATTCTCCGTTTCATTTTTTTTGAATTTAATTAGTTCCTTTGACTATATCAAAATATGGATGTTCCATAGCATCCTTTGGTGTTATTCTTTAAGCCTAATTTAAATTTAATTTCTTTTTAAAAAATTAATATAAATACATGATCATAAATAAGCATTTTAGACAATAAATCAATTGCTTAATCATTACAGAGTTGTTTATTCTCATCATTTGTAAATTTGTTCCATGGTTTTTTTGGATAACTAATTTTTTATAAAGATTTTAATTTTTAAAATAATTTAATTTACTTTCCTAATATTTTATTGTATAAAGGATCTAAAACTAAATCATATTTTTTAATGTATTTATGTAAATCCTCAGTTCCTAATACTTTGGCAATTTTAACTAATTAATCTTAATTATCAGCTCCTTAAAAGAACGGTTCTTTTTTAAAAATCTAAAAATCTAAATAAATTATATATAAAAATATAAATAAATACCATAGAAGCAAACATAACACCTGAACTCCAAATATCCAAAGAATAATCATAATAATTTTAATCAACAAGAAGTTCAGGTCCTTTAAAATATCTAGAAGCTACCTTTAATAAAAATTTATTTCTTAAATAAAAAAAAAAAAAAATTTACTCTAACATTATAATTTTATTCAGGATGATAAAATTCAGCTAAACCCCAATCAATTAATTTCAAAATTTTATTTTTTGGGTCTACGATTATATTTTATGGTTTAATATCTCTATGCATTATTCCTTTACTATGACAGTAATCTAAGGCTTTCATAAGTTCATATAAATAATATCTTATTTCATAATCAGTTAATTATGGAAATAAACTTCTAAAGTCAACATTTTCAACATATTCGAAAATCTAAATTATAAATATTTTATTTTATATAATATATATATAATATTTATATTATATATATATTTACTAAAGCTGGTGTTTTTGATGCCGAATCTCTTACTACATCTTATAATTCAACTATATTAGGACCTCCTTTGAGTATTTACAAAATTTTTATTTCTCGTTTTATTTTGCTTTTCTTTACTGGCTTAAGTACCTTTATTACTATTCTTTTTTATGGGGTTACACTTATTCCATCAAATACTTCGGAATATTTTCCTCTTCCTATTTTTCTTATGACTTCATAATTATCTATGTTTCTATTTGTTGTTTTATTTTATTTTTTATTTTTTTTTATATTAACCCCCATTCATTTTCAAATTCTTCATAATTCCAATATTCTTTTGGCATATTTTGATTTATTTTAGAGTAATATTTTGGAAGAATTACTTTACTTTAAGGGTTCATTTTTTTTTAATTATTTTTATGTTTTTTTTTTTTTTTTTTTAAAGTATATATTTTTATTAATTTTTTTTGTATTTTTTTTTCTTCATAATTATTTTATTTTATTTTTTTTAGTTATTTAAAAATTATTATATTCTTTATTTTTTTTAAAAATAATCATATCTATATATAATATAATTTAAAAGTTTTAAATAAATAAATTTTTACATAAATAAAAATATTTCTAAAACCTTAACTTTTATTTAAATTTAAAATAGAATCATATATTAAATAAATAATAGAATGTGAAAAGTGTCATAATATTAATTTTCGCGGACTTTTTTAGTTGTCTATTCTGATTTTTAAAAATATCTAGTTGATATAATATCATTAATATTTTTTATATAATTTTGATATTATTAATATATTTTAATTCTTACTTTATAATTAATTAATTTATTAATATTTTTTTTTTTAAAAAAAAAATTATGTTTAATATTTTATATAAAATAATTATTTTTATAAAATAAATTAACAGATTTATAATATTTATTCTTAGATATATATTATTATTATTAATTTTTTTTTTTATTATTATAATATACAATTATTAAACTATAACAAAACAATAAATATTAAAATATATGACTTAATATCAACTATACTTATTAATATAAATAAAATGAAATAATATAATATAAAATGAGCAACATTTATAATTAAAATCATTCTTATTTTCTTTCATTTAAATACTTATTAAGTAAAAATATTATAATCAATATTTTATATTTTTTATTATATAATAATTAATAAATTTAAAAACAAAACCTTAAAAAATTTATTGTATTAATATGAATTATATTTTTAAATATTATATAATGATTATTATTTTTACTATAAATTATAATAAAAATTTAATTGTAATAATAGATATTAATACATATTTGTTATTTTTTTTATTTGTAAAAATATATTTAAAAAAACGGCTTCGTCTTTTGTATTATCAAATGCCCATTAATTTCACCTCTATAATCTATCCCTAATATAATTTCTTTAAAATAATCTTTGATATTCATATTTTTAATAACTCCTAATTTTTTTAATTTGAAATTTTCTTCTAATAATATATATACAAATATTTAATTATTTTTTATAAATATAATAAAATATAATTTGTTAAAGTCGAATACAGATTAAAAAATAACTCTTTATCTGATAATGTTGATTAGTTTTCTTCAAAAATCTCATTTACTTTAGTATTTGACACATTTTATTTATTTACAGCTAAAATTATAGTATCTCCATAAAAATCCAGAAGTATATTTTAATCAGATTCTATATTAAGTTTTTTTACACTATTTTTTATCTTCATCTGAGTTTTTTTAGTATAGTAAACATTTATTAAAATTATTATTAGTTTGAGAATTTAGTTAATAAAGTTTTAAATATTTGTCAAATAATTTAAAAATATTCTCAAAATTAAAAAGCTTATATTCAACAATTTTTAAAATATATTTCTATCTTATTTAATTTTTATTTATTCTTACTTCTTTTTAGTTATGAAAAACATTATTGATGAATTTAATTCTTCATTTTTTTTATTAATTTAATAAAAAATAAAAAAATAATATATATTAATTAAAAAATTAAATAATTATATAAATTATTTCTTTTTTATAATATATATTATAAAAAATATTTATATAAATAAACAAAATTTTCATAATTGTATTTATAGTTATAAAAGCAATTAAAATAAAAATATCTTTGTATATAAACATGTTGGTATATTGTGAAAATTTAGATGAGTATAGATTTAAATACTAATATATATTAGTGTATATTTAAATACTAAGTTAGAAAGTGAAGAAATCAGAGAAGTTAACTTTTATAACTAATACCTGAATTAATATATATAAAAAATATTTGTTTTATTAAGGAAATTGCTTAAAAGCTTTTAATTAAAATTTCAATAATAATTTAAACAGCTAATATTTATTAACATTATAAATTTAATCTTTTATAAAGTAGAATAAAGATAAAAATAAAAACATATAAATAAAATAATTATATTAAATAAAGACAAAATTATTATTAACAAATGTAAAAAAATAAAAAAAAATAATATATTAATAAAAAAATAAGTAAATAATATAAAAAAAAATTAATTATATTATTTAAGCATATTTTTTCTAAATTATTTATTTTAATATTTAATTTAATTTACATACAATATCTACATATATAAAATAATAAATAATTAATATAAATGAAAAAATATTATAACATTATTTTTTTTCAGAAAAAATTTAAATAATTCGTTGTAATAAAAAAATATTCAATTTATTGAAATTATTAAGTTAAATAAAAATAATTTATGAATATCTAAAAAATAATAAATATTGAATTATACATTATTATTTATATAAAATAGAAAAAATATAATAATAAATATAAAAAAAATAATATAAAAGATTAAATGAAATAGACATATAATTTTATACAAATGAAATATTATAATTTTAATTGAAAATATACATTATAATTTTTTTAGAAAAACAGGATATGATAAAATTATTCATTATAGAATAGACTTTTGGGATTTGAAAAAATATATTTAGATGGAAAACTTAGAAAATTTACAGATTTTTAAAATAATAAAGCATAATAGTTTTAAATTTAGTATGTATATGCTGTAGTTATAAATCAGATAATTATACTTAATATGATTGATTGTACTAATTTTCTTGAACAATAAATTTATAAGTCAAAAACCTTTAAAAAAAGAAATTTTAACAACAAAATTTAATTTATCTTACTTTTTAAAAAATCGAAGTAAAAAATATAATTATCTTGATTTTTGTAATTGTAAAAAATAATAAAATCTATGCATATTTTATAGAAACATAAATTAATAAACAAAAAAATTAAAAAATTAATTATTGATAAAAATGGAAATCACATAAATTTAATAGGCCGAAAAATATGATTAATGATATTGAAAGACTTTTATTTTAAATAATTTTTATTAATTGAGTTATAAAAAGATTTATATATTTAATATTTAAAATATATTTTAAAATAAAAAAATTATTTATATACATATATTATATATGATTATTATAAATATACATATTTATTAAATAAAGTTTTTTTAATTTTATAGTTCTAAAGTATTATTTTTTTTATTTATTTTTTTAAATTTAGATAATATTTTTATTATATAAATTTATATTCTTTTTAATATATATATTTTTTTTTAATTATATTTTTTCTATAATTATAAATAGAATTTATCAATAAAATGCATTTTCTTTATTTTCTATCTAAAAGGAAGGAGTTTCTTAATTATAATATGAATTTAACAAAAAACCAATTATATAAAAAAAAAAAATTACTTTAATTTTATTTAATAATCGTATTATATTAATAATTTTATTAATTAAAAAATTATTATTTATTTTCATATTATTAACATATAGGTTTTTTTTTAATTAAATTTATTAGCTTCTTTGATTAATTGTATTTAATTATTAATTTTAATATTTCTTTTTTTCAAAATCATTAATATTTGACGACTCTTTATTTTTAAATTAGTTTTATTCATAAAAATTAGTTTTTTTATTATTTTAACTAAAAGACTCATAAACGAACTCCAATTCTTTTTAATTTTAAAAAACATATTTATAATTATAATTATATTCGCCTTAAAAAAGCTTCTGTTTCAAACGTTTTGATTGAAAAAATCGCAGAAGTTTAAGTATTTAAATATTAATAAATATTTTAAAAACAGTTTTTTGTTTTTATTTATTTTGTATTTTCTGTTTAGGAAATTCATTGCTTAATTAAATTATTTTATTTTTTATTTATTTTGATTGATTTTTTATATTGCATTTTTTGACAGCCTTAATTTATTACAATTATTTAAATTTTAACATAATATTATTATCTGATAATTAATATTTTTATAAATTTTAATTATCTTATATTTTAGTAGCCTCTAAATTATGACTTTATAAAGATTTACTTCTTTTTTATAATATAGTTTATCCTTAACATTATAAAAGATATTTTCCATCATCTGATTATAAGAAATTATCTAATTATATGTTTGAAATTTATGCATAAATTATATTCTCTTTTATATAATTTATTTGAAGAATATTAATAAAATTTTATATCCGTTTATTATATTGAATTGTTTAAAAATTATCATTTATATGTTTTATTAAGGATTTGTAGATTTTCCCATTTAAATCTATTTATAAATCTTTTAATTTTATAAAAAATATTAAAATAATTAATTAATTTTGTAAAAAAATACAATCGTTTTAGTCCATTTTTTATAATTATTAAATTAGTTTTAATTTTATTTAATATTAAAAAGAAATATTTTATCCCATTTTATTTAATTATTATAATGAATATTTTGTAATTGTTTTATTTTAAAATTAAAATAAATATCAGTTAAATATTTAATTTTATTAAAAATAAATTGTTTGAATTTTATAAATTAAAGATTAATTAATTAGTAAATGAGTTATAAAAATAAAAAAAAAAGTAAAATTAATATATATTAAAATAAAATTACTTATTTTTTATAATAATAACATTTATAAAAGAATATTAATAACAAGCATATTATTATAGAATTTAGATTTTATTTTATATAAATATATATATTTTAATTATATATAAACAAAATTAAATTATAATAATAATTTTAAATTTATAACATATAAATAGTAAAAGATTTAATATATATAATTAATTTATATTTAAATATTTAAATATATATAAATATAAAAAATAAATATATAAATAAATTAATTAAAATATAAATATTTATTTTATAAAATAATAATTAAAATATATTTTATTGCTTTCGATAATTTCCTTATAATATAATATAAAATAAATTAAATTTATTTTTGATAAAATATAATTTTATCTTTTTATTTATATATAATTTTTTTATATATATTATTTTATATTTATATATACAAATTTATTTAATTATATTAATATATATATATATTTTTTTTTTATATATTTTTAGTATTGATATAAATTTAGATTTTTTTAGTATCAAAATATTTTTAAGGTAATTTTAAAAATTATAATTTTCTAATTTACATAAAATTATGTCATTGGTTTATTATATTCTTTTTGTTTTTTATTCCATTTTAAATATTTTATAAATATTAATTTCATTTTACTTAATTATTATTTTAAACCAGAATTTTTAATAAACATAAAAGATAAAATTATTTGATTTGCTTATATATATATAAAATAGAAAACATATTAGCATTTTATATATTATTATAATTAATATGTTCTATAAAAATATCTATTTAAAAAATTAATGAATTATTTTAGACATATAATAGATTATTTATTATATTTATATTATCCTAATTATATATTAAAGTATATTAATTGTGCACTAATAATATTTTTTTAATAAATAATTAAATTAATAATTTCGGATAAGTTATTAAGACTTTCTTTATATTAAAATTTATATTTATTGCAAAATAATTTATTAATATTAAAAATATTAATATAAAAAAGTAGTTTATTTTTATGAATAATTTTAATTTAATTTAATTTAAAAATAATCTTTAAAAATTTAAATATTTATACAAAAGTAAAATTTTCAATAATTTTATATAAATATATATATTAAAAATTTTAACATTATAGAAAAAAAAAATTATATAATATTTTATTAAAAAATATTAAAAATTAAACAAAATAATTAAATTTAAAATAATAAAAAAAGAAAATGATTAAATAAATGAATAGCTACTAATAAGCTAAAAACTAACATGTATTCCTTATCCTTTAATCAAGAGAAGTTCCTTAAAATAATAATCTGATTTTCTTATTATAATAGACTAATTTTTTAATAAAATCTAAATAATATATGTAATTAAATGATTAGTAAAAAGACTAATTATTAAATGAATAAAAAAAATGGATTGATTATATTAAAAATTATAAATAATAAAATTTAAAATATCAAAAAATTAATTTAATAAAAAAGTTTTTTTGGAAATAAAAAATTAAACTTATTAATAGAAATAAAGTCTCGTTATATAAAAAAAAATCTGCCAATTGTACCTGAATTTATACTAGATGAACCATAAAATCTAGAAGATTTATCTACTTCATCAGGAGACAACTCATTCGAAATTACTGAATAATACTTTTTTGCTGAAAAAAATTACGATAATATATATTAAATGATGTTAAAATTAAATAATTAAAATGAAAATTTTAATAAATAAATATAAAATTAAATCCTATCTTTTTCTAAATGTAAAAAGTTAATTAAACCTTCTGAACTTAAAATTATTTCTTGTAGTATTTTACTAATAAATAATTTAATTAATATATAAACTTTGTCAAACAAACTTAACTTGAAAGAAAGATAATTAAAAAAATTTAAAATACAATAGTGAAAATATAAATATGATTAATTAATTCTTGTAAAAATACATATATATATATATATATATATATATATTATTCCTTATATATATAACTTAATTATAATATTAAATTAAAGTTTGTTAAATAAATTTTAGAATAAATATTAAAAAATATAAATAAATTAATTTAATTTTAAATTAGTTTTAAAAATATATAATAATATATATTTTAATTAAAATTGAAATTTATAAAAGAATAAAGTGAAAAAATAAAAAATAAAAAAATTTATTATTAAATATAGAAAAATAATAAATAAGAAAAAAATATCAATTATTTTATATTTAACTTTCTTAAATCGAATAATATTATTAAATGGCAGAATCAACCTACATAGTCAACTCTTTGTAAACTTACTTTTTGATTTTTCTTCTATATAAAATCATCCCAATAACAAAAATAAAAATCAAAGCTACACAAACAATAATAATAAACTTATGATGCTTTTTCTAAACTTTATTAACAATTTAATCATACTCTTTATTATCATTTTCATCATCTTCTGCATTCATATACTCTTTACATAATTCTATATTTTCAGCTCCATGGATACCTTCACACATAAACTCTTAAGCAGCTTTTCTTGAATAAAGATCACCCTTTAAATAAATAAAAAAAATATACTTATATATAATTAAATTTAATATTTTTACTCTAAATGATTATCCATTTACAAACAAATGGGGGAAAAATCTTAATCCTTACACTTTATAAAGATTTAATTCCTTTTCCAATAATGTATTATCATCTTTTTATTTATCCGCATATTTTCCTGTAGCCCAACTTTCATCTAAACATTTTTCAACTAAAAATTTTACTTTATCAACATCATCAGCATTATCTTTTTCTATTTTCTATAAAGCTTTATCATTACAGTCTTTATTATTCGATTTATTTTCTATACATAGATAAAACTCAAGTGCATAATCGAAATATAAAATAGGTTCAACTTTGCTCACACATAATTCCTACAAAGCTTAAAGCACAGAATCCTTTCCTCTCAAAAGCCCTTTATCATCAGGATCAGGGTGGCAGTATTTACCATCAGATACACAATAATCTACGTAATCAGGAGATTTTTTGCAATTATCATCGCAATAAAGAAATACAAAATGAGGTTCAAATACTATTTTTTTTTAAATTAATAAATCTTTTATGAATTATTATTAGGTAAGTAAAAAATCATATGATTTTTTATCTGTAGGAAGCATCCAATATTAGATTTCAGCTGTATCTTCTTCTTAAGGCTTTATATATATATATATATATATATATATATATATATATATATATATATATATATATAAAATTTTAAAATATAATTATGAAAATTATCTTTTATTATTAAAATACAATTAAAAAATAAAATAAAATATTTTTATTAATGATATAAACTATAAAAAAATGAAAACAATTAAAACTAATAATAAATATATATAGGCATAAAAAAAATATATAGGTATATAAATATATAAATATATATATATATATATAAATTTATAAATAAATAAATAAATATATATAATTACTATTTTATATACATATTTATATCTATTATTTTTCATATATTTATATACATATAAATTTATTTTTTAATTTCTAATTTTTTTAATTATTAGTTTTTATTTATTTATATGTTATTTTATTATTATTATAAATTTTTTATTATCATGAATTTTTATTTACTTTGTTAAAATTTATAGATACTTAAATTTCTTGTCCTATATTAAACAAATCTTTTAAAATTTTACCACTTTTATTAGTAATTAATACTACAGGTATATCTAATTAATTACCTTTTTAAAAAAATAAAAGGAGTTATATTAATATATATATATACCTGATAAGTCATCACTCATAATAATATCATCTAAACTCTCAGTTAATGAATTATCAATAATTATAAGCATTTTAGCGTGAGATTTTTAAGCTAAAAGTCCTTTAGTTACAAAAGTACAGTCTCCTCGATCTGCAACTAATATCGGGTATCCATGTTCGTTGAAATATTTTTAATTGAATTATCTTATTTGAGTACATGCTGTATTATCTAAATCTTTGTATTTTTTATAATCTTCTTCTGTTTAATTTTCATCCCAGTTTTATAAGTTTACTGCTAGTTATAATCTACCTGATAGTTTATGTCCATATGGGAAGAATCCAAAGTTTGCCAAAGATACTTCTATTACTATTTTTATTTATATTATAATATAATATAATTTAATTTAATATTCTTTTTATTATTTTATTATTAATAACTTCTGTCTTTAGGATTTACGAAAGGCTATACTATTCCCAAATAAGTTTCTTTTGATAAAACTTATACAATAAGCATTAGTGTGTAAAATATTATTTTCATTTTTAATTTGAGTTTTTATTTTTTTAATTTTTTTTTATATAAATTATTATTTTTTTTGACTTTAAATATAAAAATATACCAACTATTTATTTTAAATAAAAAAAAAAAGTTAAACTTGTATTATAAAATTTATATTTATATTATAATAAAAAATATAAAATTTATTCTTATTTATAATAACTTTCCTTTATAAAAAATTATATATTTTAACTTTTTTTATATATATATTTAAATTTGTTATAAATATATAATTATTTTATTCATATTCATTTAGAAAACTTAAAAATAAACATAATTGCTTAATAAAATAAAGGATGTAACGAATCATGTGGTGTATGATATTAAACATTAAGCGTATTATTAACTTTATCAACAATACAATCTAAGAAAATAGGCATATCATTAACTAATTTACATGAGAAATTAATCATTTCTATTTAATATTTTTTTTTTAAAATATAATTAAATCAGAAATAAAATTTTTTACCAACTCCTTAAGGATTTACTTAAGAATTAATCATATAAATATTATTATCTTCTAATTTTTAAATAAGCTATTTTTTATTTATATTTTTTTTTTTTTTTAAATAAAAAAAAGTACGCTATTTCTTTCAATAGCAATTTATATTTTATCAGCTTTTCTAACCATTTTTTGGACTTATTATTAATAAACTTAAAATGGTACTTTTCCATTTGGAATCATAAGTACAGTCAAACTACAAGGAATAGTTAAAGCATAAACATCGAAATTTGTATTAATCAAACAATTAATTGTAAAAGGATTAGTTAATGGATTTTAATCAATTTATCCTGTACAATTAACATCAATATTAGTATTTAGTGTTTATCCAGAATGAAGCTATATATATATATACATATATATATTTTTTTTAAAAATATTTACATTATTTAATTGAGGTAAATCAATAATAGAATTTAAAAGCTTAAACTTGTTAGGTCCAAATTTAATAGCAAAATTAGTGAAAGTATTTTATCCAAATTTATTTATTACTTATAATTCTAAATATATTCTATCATTTTCTCTTTAAAAAGCAGCTGCAATATTAAGTCCATTTACTTTTCCTTATTAAGAAAATTTATTTTCATTTATACATTCCTATATATATGTATTTTAATATTTTTTGCTTAAAAATAAATTAAGTATTTACACTTAACGGAATTTTAATATTTCTAGAAGCTGATGCTTAATATTATTATTATATTGGTTATTATTATTATTAAGAAGAAGGACCAGGTCCTAATAAATCATCATCATCAATTAAATTATTGACTTATTATTACATAGGTTATTAATATTGCTATTATTACTAAGTAGGTTATTATTAAGGTAAATTACCTCCTAGTAAATCATCATCATCATCAATTAAATTAACATTATTATTATTATTATTATTTTAAAGCATATTCTATTGCATATATTAAGGAGGTTATTATTAATAATTATTCACTGGAAGATCATCATCAAGTAAATCTCCTAAATTATTCGTATTTTATACATTTTAAGCTTAATTGTTTGTAATTTATGCATCACCTCCATAATATTCATTATCAACATCTTTTTCAGTCGGATTTAAAAGTTCATCAGCAGCATCTTCATCATTTTCTTCTAATTCTTTCTAATTTATAATATCTCTTAAATGTTTTACAAACTATTAAGGAGGTTTATAATATACAGAACTTAAAGTTCCGATATTTTCTATATATATAAATATAAAGTTTTTTTTTTTTTTAAAAAAAAAAATACCTATTAATTTATCTAATAATTCAGTTTCTAAAATATATGTACTATCCGAAATTTCCGGTCTTTCGCTATAAACTATTTCCTTTGCCAATTAAGGATCTTGTCCTAAAAGTCTCCAATAAATATACCCTCTATCCCTCAAATCGGGATTTTCGCAATTATTAGTAGCTTATTATAATAATTTTTAAATCAACTAATATCCTTCTTAATGTCTCATAAGGAAAAGTTTAATGCAACTTGTTAATATTTAATGTTATACAATAGCTGGTTCTTCTAAAAAACTAATAAAAAAAAAATATTATTTTTGTAAAAAATTTATTTACGATTCAGCAAAATTAGTTAATAATTCATCTGAATTTTCTATAGTAGTTACATATTCTCCTATAATCCAAATCATAGCGGCTTTAGCTTCAGGATTATCTAAAGTTGTTAGATTTTCACATATTTCTTTAAGTATGCCTTCGTAATCTTTTGGATATTTTCTAAAGATATCTCTTATTACTATAATTGTTTCTTACATTACGTATTCGTTTTTTGATTGAAGGCACTCTCTTAATACTTAAACACATTTAGGAGCTGCTTTTTCTAATTTAATTGCACATCTTCCAATAGATCTTATTGACTTTTTTAATGTTAAAAATTGTAAAATAAGATTTTTTGTTACTTTTTTTGCTATTTCAATGTCAACTTCTGTTGTATGTTCTTTTAATTAAGATAATATTTAGTGAATATTATCTAAATTAGCAAGTCGGATAAGAATTTCGATTTTCATAGTTTTTATATAAATAGGATCATTAAAATTACAAAAGAAATATTTTATTTCTTTTTCAATAATCATAGGTCTTTTTTACAAAATCAAATTAATATTTTTTAAAGCTACATATATAACTTCAGATTCTTAATTTAGTAAACTTATTAATGGAGAAGTTAACTTTTTACAATAATTAATAATTAATTCTGGGTCAGTTATGAAATCCAAATATTTCATTATTACTTTGACTGCGCTTAATATTACACCAGGATTGCAATGTTATAACAAAGGTACAATTCTTTCTAAAATACTATTTATATATATATAGTACTATTTTTATATGTATATATTTTTACTCTTATGTTTCTTTAGAATCTGTAGGCTAATATACAGAAATAGCATCTAAAATATATATAATTCCCCATTCATTACACTCGTTCATTGCTGTTCTTAATTTTTAAACTTTATATCTATCTAATTATAAAAGATTTTCTCCTTTAATTTCTTGGATAGACATTAAAGCACATACAGCGTTAGAAACGACCATTGCATTTCCGTCATTTAGAAGATTTTATAATTAAACCAAAAATCCTTATTCTTCCATTATATCAGGATGCGTTTCAAATAATTTAGCAATACAAATCGCAGCTGTTTTACGGACATAAGAATCTTCATCTTTTATAGCTTTTTTTAAGGGATCAAGTAAATATTCTACTACTGATTTTATACGTATACATCCCATTGTTCTTACTGCCAAACTTCTTAATAAAGGATTTTATTAATTTGTGGCATCCTTTTTTTTATTTATTTATATTTTTTATTTTAAATTTTTACACTTCTGAATGAATTGACTGCTAAAATGGCTAAATCTGGTTTTGATTTTGCATAGTTTATGATATATAAATATATCAATTTCTTTAATTCCATATTATCGGTCATCATGTTTCTTATTACATGAGTAAATAACATTGATACGTCTTTTCCTCTGGTCATGGCATCGATAATCTAAATACATTTTTTATATATTTTATTTTTTTAGATTTATATATGTATAAACCTTTCTTATGGCTTCTTTTTTAATATTTATGTTATTGTTTAATAAGTCATCTTGTAATTCTTCTACTTCATTTTTTTTCTTAGTTATTTAAGGTCTTTAAGTTCCTAGATTTGGTTTTGATTAGGCTTGCATTTTTATTTATTTTTTAATAAATAATTTTATTTAATTTAATTTAATTTGATTTTTTTTTTTTGTATAAAAAATGAATATTTATTTTATTTAATATTTTATTTTTAATTATTATGTTTTTTTTTTTTTTCCTTTTATAATATATATAAAAAATAAAAATATTTTTTTTGTTAAAAAAAAAAAAAAAAAAATATATTTTTAAATAAAATTAAAATAAATATAATTAATAAAAAAAAAATTCAATTATAATATAAATCTTATAAAACAAATAAATGATTATAAGTTTAAACATCAGCCAAATGCTTATAAAAAGCAGTAAATTTAACAAGCAAAACTTAAATACTATTATAACACTAATTGAATATTTATTAAAATATTTTCTATCCAGCCTAATTTTCAAAACTAACATGTACCTGCGCCTAACTTAAAAAAGGATTTCCTTATAAAATAAGTGAAAAAACCTAATTAATTTCATGCTTATAATTATTAGCTATAAGAGATAAATCGAGTGTTTTTAAAAATTGTATTTAACAAATACACTAAATAATATATTTAATACATTAAAAGGACATTTGATTTTCATCCAAATACAGTTCTAAAACCTTAAATTTATTTTTATTTTCTAAAAGAAATTCCCCAATAAAACTTCCTCCTTTATCTTGTAAAGAATTCCCTTTTAAATTAAATCTGATTTCTTCCAATAGAGTAAGCCTTCCAATAAAAAAAAGGAATTTTCGAATATTCTAACTTTTCATTTTGAAGCCTTCCAAATCTATTTTTAAAAATTTCAAGCCTTTAATTTCTCCCAAAAGCTCAAAAAAATCTTCCAAAAAACTCACTTGTTCAGTTTATAAATCCTCTACCTGCATTTAATAATTAATATCAATAAGAACATTTTTTTCTAAATTTTCATTGTTATTACTTGCTTATTTTTATATATTTAATTTATGGTTAGGATTATGTGCTATTACATTATTTAATTATTAAATACTGTTTTTTAGTTTCATACTGCTTATTGAAATATCTAAATTTTTTAAAAATCTTGCAGTTTATAAGTTCTTTAACATAGGAATAATACGATTTATTCTTAGTTAATTTTTATTTAAATTAATACTGAATTTATCCACATTTGGATTTATTCGGAAAAAATTCAAGTCTGTAAGATCATTTGAAGATAAATTGATATTTAATTCTTTCAAATTATTTAAATCTTATAAAGACTCGACTATACTTTCAAATCCTTCGTTTGTAATACCGTTTGATTATAATTCATATGTAATGTTTTCTAATTTCTATAGTCCTTTTATTGACTTTGATATATATTATATTCCGTTGTTTACTTTATTTAATCTTAATAATATAGAAAGATCTTTTAAATTACACATTATGTTTATATATTAAGCTAATGTCTCACAATCTTTGTCTATTATTCGGTTTGTACATTCATGAATATATGTAAATTTTGTTATATTTGATGAATTTCTATCTAAAAACTTTTGAATATTTTATAGTTCTTCGGGTTCTAAGTCATATGTTGTTAATTCTATTCGGTCAAAATTTTCTAATGAACTATTTAAATTTTTAGATTCAGTACTTATATTTAATTCGTTTAAGATTATTTTTAACATTTTTATATTTATAATATATATATATATATATATATTTTACTTATATTATTTATATAAGTCTTTTATGTTATTATTGTTTATTTTTTTATTTAAATATTTTATAAATTTTCAAAGTTAAATATATAATTAAAAGTATTATATATTTTTTTTTTGTAATAATGTTTATTTTATATTATTAATATAATTAATAATATATATTATTTTATTAATATAAAAATATTAATAATTTCTAAATAATTAATTAAAAATTTTTTAATAATATCTATTTATATTAATTATATTCTATTATTTAATTATAAATAATTTTATTTTCATATATAATATATTATTATTATAATTTTTATTTTATTGAAAAAAATTATAATTATTTGTGTATTTTAGTATTATATTTAAAATATATGTTATTAAATAATTCTATAAATAATAATACTTATAATAAATACTCTTATATTAATATTCTTAAATTTTTTTTAATATAATTTAAATACATATAAAAACTCTTAAATTTATTCAAAATAAAATGCCTTTATTTTTTTGATTTTATTAATTATAAATATAAAATGAATTAATTTTTTCAAAATACAAAATTATTAAAAATTAAATAAAAATAAAAATATTAAATAAATTAATTTAAATAAATGCTCTTTTTATGTCTATATTTTTAAATAATAACTATATGTATAACATCTTATTAAAATTATTGTTAAATAATTTTCTAATAAAAAGCCTACGCTGGATTTTCGCTTTCAATTTTTTTCATATTTAGTATTATTTCATCATTATATACAGAATACTATGTAAATTTAAAGTATTCAGTTGAAATTTTATAAAGAAAATTAATAATATCAGCTCTAGGAATATCTTTATTATTTATATATGGACAATATATAATTGAAAATGAAGAACATTCGATTTTCTTATTTATATTATTTTCAGGAATTTTAGGAGCATTTAACTCTTATATATGGAGTTTATAATAAGAATATATTCAATAAAAAAAGTAATATTAAAAAAGTAAAATTAAAAAATTTTATTTAAAACAAAAATATATTATTTTTAATAAATATCTTTGATAAAAAAAAAGATATTTAATATTATAAAAATTATTCAGTAAACAAATAAATTATTTATATATAATTGGAAATTTGGTATTTTGGCAAATTTTATAATAGTTAGATTTAAGATTTTATTTTAGTTTTTGTTTATTAATGATCTCAATATGTATAGTATTTGCATTTTTAATATAATTTTAAGAAAATAATAATGAACAATAGGAAATATAAGAAATTTTTAATACTGATATTGAAGAATAATAAATTAGTTTTTTTTAAAAAAAAGGAATTTTTTAATTTTTGAAAAATGATAAATTCATTCGATATTATTTTTGTTTATTTTTTTTAAATGGATCATTTCTTACTTTTTTTTGGTTAGAAATACCAAAACTTTTTGTTTTTGATAATTAAACTGGTAAAAAATAATATGATTTTGTCGGATTTATATATTTTGTAAGCAGTTTAGTGAGCTTTTGGAAATTCTAAGAAATAGATATGTGCTTTTTATTAAATAAAATTATTAAATTGAATTTTCTTTTTGCTTTTTTTATTATTATGTTCGCATTTATAAAAAATTAGTTTTAGATTTTTGGGATTATTATAGGTATTCTTTTCGGCTTTTTAAATTTTTATTTAAAATATTTTATTGGATTTATAGTTAATGTTGCCTTTAATGACGAAAATTAGAAAAATGCAAAATTTATATTCAAAATAGTTTCAAATTTAGGAAGTATATTTATGAGTTTTTTATTTGCAATTATTGATTTTTATTTTGAATTTTAGTCTTTTTATTTAATTTATTTAGTTTTATTTAATATTATTTTATGTTGTGTTTTTTATAATAAAATTTAAAGTAATTTATTATAAATATAATAGTGATAATATTTTATTAACACACAAATTAAGAAAAAGAAAAAAAATTATATGTTTTTATTGAAAATATATAAATTTAGAAATTTTTTATTTTTTCAATATATAACTTATTTATATTTATCTTCTGTATAGGATCTATCAGTATTATTATATTATTATACATATTATACTTTTTATGCTTTAAAATACTACGTCTAATCTTAATCTTAAATAGACTAAAATATTATAAAATTTTAAGGATTAGAATTTTTACAAGATAAAGAACATTCTTTATTAATATTATAAAAATAATTATTATTATTATTATTATTATCTTTATTATTATTATTATTATTATTATTATTTTATTAAAAAGTAATCCTGTTTTTAATATCTTTAGTGGATATTATTTTTTTTATTTTTATAAAATTTCTTCTACATTATTATTGTTTATTGTAACTAAACTATCTCTGAAAATATTTTTAAAAAATTAACTAACATCTTAAAGAAAAGAAATAGGTCTTAAATTATTATGGTCTCCTTCAAAAAATATTATTTTTTTATTAAATCCATTAAATTTTTTATATAATATTTCACTATGTTTTTTACTAACAATTTAATCTTAAAATGCATGTCCGAAAATAATTCCTTTTAAATTTTTATTGAAATAATTTATTTTTTTAAATTAATTTAAAATATATTGGTTTATATTTTTTTTAAATCTTCATTTTGATTATTTATAAAATACTCTCTACTATTAAATAAGGAATATTTTATTTTTTTCCGATTTCCTTTATTAACTTCTCTAATTATATAAATCCAGAATCACAAACAATCGCCTATACTGACCCTTCTTTATTTTTTATACTGCAGTAATTTAAAGCAGTTACTGCTCCCATGCTTCTTCCCCATAATCCTATAGCGTTTATTTTTAATACATTTTTTATGTATTTTATAATAGTTTCTAAATCTTCACTTTCTTGTACTCCCATAGTTATGTATTCACCCTCACTCTATCCTGTACCCGCAAAATCAAATGCAAAAAGTATTATTTTTGGCAAAATATAAGGAATTAGGCTTAAAGAATCTAATCTAGAACCGGCATTTCCATGTAAATATATTATACAAGGCGTTTTTTGAGGATTGTATGAATAAGGGTAAAAATATGAGCATTATAATGTTTAATTTTTGTTATTTTAGAGTTTTAAGTCATGTCTTTATATTTATATATTATTTATTTATTAAGGAAAATTATCTAAATCTTTATAAGAATAAATTTATCTATTTGGACGAATTATTTGTAAGATCATTTCGTTATATTTTTCAAATATGTTTGAGAAAAAGTTCATTTAATTAAAAAAAATATTTAATTTTATTTAATAAAAAAAATAAAATAATAAAAATTATAAAAATAATATAAATATATATATATATATATATATATATATTTATTATATATATATATATATATATTTTTATCAAATCATTATTTATGTATTGTTTTTTTATCTCCGAAATTATATTTTATATTATTTAAAGTATTTTTTAGTTCTTATTCTTCTTTAATTCTGTTTAATCTTAATATTTTTTTTTTTTCTTAAATTTCTTATAAAACTTATTCTTCATTAAAAAATGATTAAATTTAAAATTCTAAATCTAAAACCTTTTACTCTAAATATTTTTTATCAGATTCTAATTCTAAATTTTTTTTTTCAATTTCTACAATAATTTTTTCTTTGATTTTTTTGTCTTTTTCAATACTTGATACTTTTTAATTTTATTTTTCAATTTCTATTTTTTCTTTTTTTTCATATTAAAATTTTAATTTTTCCATTAAAATCATTAATTCTTCGTTTTTCTCAATTTCTTGTCTATTTTTTTTTCTAAAAAATTAATTTTTCCTATAAATTTTATATATTTTCATTTAAAAATTGCTTTTTTTCTTCAAATTTTTTTTCTTTTTTCACTAAATCCTTTATTTTTTCTTTTATTTCACCTAAATTTATATTTAAATCTTAATTAATTTCTTATAAATTTTAAATTTTAGTATCTTTCTAAGCTAAAATAATTTCATATTATCCTATTTTCTTCTCCAAAAAACCGACTTAGTCATCTTTTTATAATTTTTCTTTCAAACTACTATCAAATTATTCTTTAAGATATTCATAATTATTTTAAATTTGATTTTTTTCATCCAAAAGAGATTAAATTTATTTTTAAAAAAGTACATTTTCTTCTTAAAATTATATAAAAAATTCATTTTTTTCATTATTTTCTTCATTTAATTTTTCAATAAGTTCTTATTTTTCTTAAAGTTTTATTTATAAGTATTTTTTTTCTTCCAAAAGCTAATTTTTTTCACTTTAAATTTCATTGATTTTCTCGAGAATTTTTTCCGAAAAATTTTAAGTCTTTTTTTATTCTAATAAAATTTCTTCAGAATTTTACTAAACTTAAATATTCTCAAGTATAATTTTTTCCATCTTTTTACAATTTTCCTCATTTTCCTTTTACAAAATTTTATTTAAATTTTCATTTTCACTTAATAATTTCTTATAATTTTCTTCCTTTTCTCTATATAAATACTCTCTTTATATGGTTTCCTATTTAAATTAATCTATTTATAATTAAAACTATCCTGTTTCTTATTAAAATGAATCTATTTCTTATTAATACTAGCCTGTTTGAGATTAAAGTTATGCTATTTCTTCATCTTTTAGATTTAGTATTTAAATTAATTAATCGTTTTTTAATTTCTATTCACGAACTTAATTTAATTAAAATTCATATTTCTCTTAAAAGTCTTATTCTTATTATCTTTTTTGTTCAATTAATAATTAATAACGATTTTCTACATTTGATAATAAATAATTTAAATCTTTATAGTCTTTTTCATTTTATTTTAATTCATATATTTCTTTTTCTAATTAAAAAATATTTTATTTGTTATTATTTTTTATCATTTTTTTTTATATATATTAAAAAAAAGAAAAGATTAATTAAATTCCAAAAAATTAGTTTCAAAAAAAAAAAAAAAAAAAAAAAACAATTAAAAAAAATAAAAAATATCAATATATATTTTTTTCATAATTGTTAATTATCTTATATAATTTTCTTACAAATATTATATAATTATAAAGCTTAACCATTATTTTATTATTTGAAAATCAATTTCTTTTTACTGCCTTAAATTTAAAAATATACCTCATCTTCGTTTTCTAACTCTAAAACACACTCTTTATCTAAAACAACTATTTTTTATTACTTACTTTTACTTTTGTCACTAAAATACACTAATTTTCCAGGTTTTCCTTTATAAACGATAATATATTTCACCTTATGGACATTAAAAATTGCTAAAATCTTCTTTTTTTTAACCATATTACCCTCAAAACCTATTCCATTATCTAATTATTTCATTAAGCACTATATATAATCTGGTACATTACACTAAAAAGCCTATTCCCAATTAAATCCTTAAAAAAATTCATGATTTTTAATTTAAGAATAAGCTTCTAAAACTTCTTTTTAAGTTAAATTTTCATGAATATGAATATAGCCTAATCTTTCTTATTATTCTTATTTTAGCATTTGATTAATTAAATTTTAAGCTTTTTATGGTATTTTTTCATGCTAGCAATTAAAATTCGCTTATTTAATTTTCTCGTATATTTATAGCTCTTATTAATCCCAAAATGGAGTTTTTTAAGTAAAAAGTTTATATAAAATGCACGCAAAAGCCCACAAATCACCATTTGCATCACAATTTTCTTCTAATACCATTTCAGGGCAAACAAATTCTGGTGTACCGCAAAATGAGTTACTTTTTAAGTATATATTTTCATTAAAAGGGATTTTTTATTCATTTCTTTTAGCCTCTTCTTCATATTCGAGCTTCATTTTTTGCATCCTATATTCGTTCTTCTGACTTATTTCGTCTTTAAGGATTTCTTCTTTGATTAAGGAAGGCGCATAATCGTTTAAAGTGCCAAAATCAATTAATTAAATGTGCCCTTCGGAAGTTATAACCATGTTTTCGGGCTTAAAGTCTCTATGGGAGAAACCGTTTATGTGCAAATATTCTAATATAAGTATCAGCTGGGCTGAAAAATATCTAATTTGTTAAAAATTGAGTTTTTGTTTAGATATAATAGAGGAAAAATTCCCTCCAGAAGCATATTCAGTGATAAAATAGATATTTTCATTTGCTTAAAAACAAGATGAAAATTTAGGAATTCCAGGATGTTTAAAGTATCTAGTTATTTTTTCCATAAAAATTTAGTGCATTTTTTTCTCTTTATTTAAAAGACTTTTATTTATTTCTTTCATGGCTTTGCATTCGCCTTGTTTTGTACGAACCTTATATACTAAACCGTATGAACCTTAACCTATTATTTCTTCTTTTATAAAATTTTGTAAGTAATTTTAATTGTTATTTTTGTTTGATTTTAATTATGGACTTTATTCAGATTTTTAAATAGTATTTACTTATTCCATATTTTTATTTATTTATTATATTAAAGATTGTAATTTATTTCTGATAATAATGAGCTATTTTAATATTCGTTTGTTTTATTTTTATGTATATTTCCTTTTTTTTTATTATTATTTTTTTCAAAGGCGTTAATTTTTTTTATTAAAATAAAAAGCTTTTTAATCTAAATAAATATTAATTATTTCAATTTATGATTTATCTTACTTTATATTATACATATATAAATTTATTTTTTTATGAAATAATTTTATAAAATATAGCAAATATATTTATATTATGAATATTAAAATAAATACTTAATAAAATATAATAATTATAAAAATAAACAAATATATTTATTTAAAAAAAAAAAAATACTTTGAAAATTTTTTATATTTTTTTTTTAAAAAAAAGTTATTTTTCATTAAATAAAAATTAAACAATAAATGAATTAATAACAACTATCCCAAAACACTGAATTATCTTAAAGTTTATTATCAAACTATGATTTAGATCAATTCTAAAATAATTCAATTCACGAAGAAGAATACACAATGACATATTCAAATACAAATAGGACTAAAACAAATACCTTAACATCACGAAACTAAAAATTTCCATAAAAGAAAGATATTTTATATCAAGAAATATATGAAATATAAGAAAAATCAAAAAATGCATTAAATTCAATATAAAAAATACAAAAGGAGAATTATCAAAATAATAATAATATTTAAATAAATTTTTTCAATTAATGGAATAATTTACTTTAGAATAAATTTGATTTTTACAAAAATGAAATTTCTCAAATTTTTACAAATTAAAATTCAACAAATTATCCAATTTAAAATGAAATTTAAAGCGTTATGAATGAACTTGTCATTTAAGTAGAAAATTAACATTTTTTTGATTAAAAAACTATTGAAATAAATACTCTTATAGAAGAAAAAAATCAACTTTAATCAATAATAAAACATTATTAATAATAAACAGAAGAACACTGTTAATAAAAAATATATATTTAATAATAAAATAATACTTTACAGTAATAAAGTAATAATTTGTAGCAATAAAATAATAGCTTATAGTAATAAAATGTTTAGAATTAATAGTTAATATAGAATTATTTATAATAAATTAACCAAATATAATAGATAAATACTTAAATGACTGAATAAAAGGAAAAAATGTAACAAAAAAATATAGAAATGGAAAAACAATTATAAAAACTAGAAGAAATATAAAAAAAAGAAATTGAGTAAAAAAATAAATAAATAGAAGATTTAAAATAAAAATTTTTTAAATTAAAACAAATATTTTAAATATAAAAATAAATAAAATTGAAAAATGAAGAAGAAAAGAAAGTAAAAAACGAAATTTTAATAGATATAAAATAGTATAAGCAAAATTAATCAGTAAACAGTGATAGTAATAATAATAATAATAATAATAATATTAATAATAATAATAATAATAATAAATATAATAATAATTATTCTTTAATAATTGAAAATAACTCTTAAATTTAATCTAAAAAAAGAACATAAAGTTTGTTAAATGGAAATAATTTAGCTATATATGATGATAAAAGTTTGATTATTAATTAAATTTCGTGTTTAAAAAATTAAATAAATACATATAAAAGAGATTTCTAATTAAAAAATAATCGATAAATGAATAATTAAGATAAATAACTAATTAAACATTTGTATTTAGAATATAATAGATTGGTAGAATTAATTAAAGTTAATAATAGTGAAAAAAATGAAAATAAAGATATTATATAAGAATAGAATATTAATTAATAATAATTAATAATAGATACAAATAATGATAAAATAATTCATTTAGAAAAATAATATAATAATTAAAAAGATAAAGAATAAGTAAATAAATTATATATTATACTTATAAAAATAAAAATAAAATAAAGAAAATTAAAATAAACGATAATTAAATATAAATATTAACAAAAAAAAATAATGAATTAAATTAATAAATCATTATTTTATAAAATAAAATTTCGGAAGAAATAAAATAGAGAAAAATATTACATAATATAATATAAGACATGAAAGGATAAATAAGAGTATTTTGCAGAGTCCGTCCCTTATCTGAAATCGAAAATAATTAATAAAATAATAATATATGTGTAGAAATTTAAGATGAAATGAACATATAAATAAAAACAAGAAATGGATTAAAAAAGTTCTCTTTTGATTCATGTTTCGGATAAAGTATAATAATAGATATCTTATATTAAAAAAATATATTATATAATATAAAAAATATAAAAAAAAAAAATATATATATACAAATATATATATATATATATTTATATATATTTATATATATATTATATTTATTTATATATATTTATATATATTTATATTATTAAATATATTGAATTTTATATTCATTTTAATTTAAAATATAAGATTCTACTTAAGATAATGTTTTTCAAGATGTTAAAAATCTTATACAAAGTGTATTAGATGGTTATAATGTTTGTGTATTTGCTTATGGATAAACTGGTAGTGGCAAAACATTTACAATGTATGGTACCTAAGAAAATCCAGGAATAACTCCTAGAGCAATAAATGAATTATATAATTTAATTTAAAATATGTCACAATTAAATAATATAATTGTTAAAGTACATTTAGTAGAACTTTATACCGACAATATAATTGATTTATTAGATAATAATCATTTAAAAAAAATTGAAATAAAAGAAGATTATATAAATAATAGCATTTATTTATAAAATGTTAAAGTAAAAATAAAAAATTATAAAAACAATATTTAAAAAAAGATTATTGAAGCAACTTCAAGCGAGCATTTATTAAATATAATAAAATAAGGATTTTCTAAAAGAAAAGTAAGTAAAACTGATATGAATGTCGAATCATCAAGATCTCATATAATAACAATAATAGAAATATAAATTAAAAACAAAAAATCATAAGAAGTATGAATATAAAATAAAAATCTAATTTATTTATAAATATATTTAAAAAATATATATAATGATATAAATAAATATATATATATATATATATATAATATATATATATATATATATATATTAAATACATTTATATATTATAAATTAATATAAACTATATTAAATAAAAGATTTTATATGGAAAACTAACACTTGTGGATTTAGCTGGAAGCGAAAGAATTAATAAATCAAATAGTAACTAATTATAAATAAAAGAGGCTTTACATATAAATAAATCATTAACATCTTTAGGAGATGTTATTGAAGCTTTAGCAACTTAAAATTTATAAGGCGGAGAAAAGCATATACCTTATAGAAATAACAAGCTAACATATTTAATGAAAGATTCATTAGGAGGAAATGTAAAATTATATATAAAAAATTAAATAAAATAAAAAAAGGCTAAAACATTAATGTTTGTAAATATAAGTCCTAGTGAATTTAATTAAGAAGAAAGTTAGAGTAGTTTATAATATGGAAGTAGAGTAAAATCGATAGTTAATGATCCTTCAAAAAATATCGAAACAAAGGAATTTATTAAAATAAAAGAAAAACTATAATTAATGATATAAGAAAATTAAAGATTATAAAGTTCTTATTAATAGCTTATTTAATAATAAAAAAATGAAAAATATAATATTTTAATAAAAAATAATCAAGAAAACGAAGAATTAAAATCAAATAAAATAAAATAGGAAAATGAATTAATATTAAGACTAAAAAATAGTATAATATAACCCAAAATATAAATAAAAACTCAAGAATAAAAATAAAAAATAATAAAAATATCAGAGAAGTCTCTTTCTTTATAATCAAGTTAAATTTAATAAGAAAAATTAACAAAATAAACCTAATAATAAATGTAAAACTCTTAAGAAAAACAATAATCTTAAAATTTTTATTCTAACCAAAATTCAATATTATAGTAATTATTATAATCTAATTCGACTAATTTATATACTTAAAACAAAAACAATTTTTTTCAAAATTAAAATAATAATACTATTTCAACAGAAAACGAACATAGTATATTTATTATAGATTCTTAATTTTAATTATCTTAAATATAAAATAATAATGATAATTCGAATTACAATACTAACGTTTTTACTTAAAAGTTCTTAAATAAAAATAATAACAACCTTTCTCATTCAATTTCAACTTAGAATAATTTATCTAATATATTATTTTCATAAAAAAGAAAAAGTAACAATAGTATTTTTCATAATAAAAATTATAATATAATATGAGAGATATTATATATATATATATTTAATTTTGTTCAATTTTCTTATACTTTTCTTAAAAAATCACTCACTTTTTCTATAAATTCAACTTATTTATCTGCATGTAACCAATGTCCAGCTCCTTTTATAAAATGAACATCTTTATCTTCATTTAAATAAGGGAAAATATTGTAAAATTCTTTTATTTTTTCTTAATTTATATAATGACTTTTAGCACCACATATAATAAATACATTTTTTTTCCAACCGTTTTCTGTTTTTATATCTTCACCTAAATTTTACATATAAAAATCTTTTATTGCACTCAAATTCATTCTCCATTTAAAATTTCCATTTTAATCTTCTACAACATTCATATTCATGAAATTCTAAAATATATATATAGATAATAAATATATATATGTATTTATATATATATAAATATATATATATATATATATATATATATATTATATTTTATTTATTTTTACTGCAACTTATGTATTCTCTATAAGATTTTTAACTTCTTGTTAAATTTTTATTTTTGGTTTATTTTTAAAATCTATATCTAATAATTAATTAATCATTATCCACATTTAATAGACGTCAGCACTTCTTTCTTTGAGTAAATTTCCGTTAGTTATATCACAAATAATAATTCCTTTTACTCTTTCTTCTAAAAATTTACCATGATCTCTCAAAGCACTTAAAATAACCCTTCCCCCCATTGAATGTCCCATTAAAAAAGCATTATAAATATTATGTTTATCTAAAAAATATACTAAATCTTCTCCCATTTCGGTCAAAGACATCGTATTTTTGTGTTAAGAAAGTCCATGATTCCTCAAATCAAGGCAATATGAATTCACAATAGAATTAATTTTATCATTTTTAACTATGGAACGAAAATTAGTATGAGAACCGAATAATCCATGTAAAACAATTAAATTATCTTTTACTTTTACATTCGAACTTTATAAAAATTAATAATGCAATGGAATTGGCTAATTTTAATATCTTATAGTTGTAAAAGATCTTATTAAAGTATTTTTAATCATATTTTTTTTTTTCACAAAAAAACAAAAATCTAAACAAAACAAAAAAAGAGAAAAAAATAAAATAAAAAAAATCTAAATTTAAACAAAGAATAAATTAATAATCTTATTTAAAAAAAAAAAAAAAAAAAAAAAATAATCAAAAATGGCAAAAGGTTTTGTAGGCCAAAGATAAGCAAAAACATCCCAAAAAACTTCCGAAAAGCTAGGTATAACCTAAGTAAAATATGAAATAACAATAATAGCTTTAATATCATTAATGGCAGGTCAATTATATTGCTTATATACTGAAATAAAGGAAGCAAATTATATATTAAAGCCATCTGTTTTAGTTTTAATGTTTATATATACATATTTTGCTGGAAAATAATCATAAAATTCTCAATTTAAAACTTTTATTTTAAGTGGTTTCTTGTTTTCATGTTTAGGTGATATTTTTTTAATGTTTGAAGGCGAGAATTATTTCTTATTGGGTTTAATATCATTTGCTATAGCACATATATCTTATGTGATTTCGTTTTTGAATAGTTTTGTATTTAGATACTTATAATTATTTTTAGTTGGGTTTTTAGCTTTTTTGGTATTTTTTGTACATGATCATTTAACTAAATAACGCAATTTCCCTTCTTCTTTGAATATTCCTGTTTTTATATATGCCTGTATTATTTCTAGTATGCTCATTACTTCAAGCTCAAGAGGAAAAACATCCAAAATCAGTTCCAGATTAGTCTTTTTGGGCGCTGTTTTATTCTGTGTGAGTGATTTTTTGCTTTCTTTTAATATGTTTGTAGAAGAATTTGAAAATAAAATTAGTTAATTGGCAGTTATGATTACTTATTATTTGGGATAGTTGTTTATTTTTATGGGAGCTTTGAATCATATGGAGTTTTTGAAACATAAAGAAAAACTAATTAAAGATAAATGAATTTTTTTTTTTATATTTATTTAAAAAAAAATATAAAAAATACATAATATTGACATATATTAATTTATATATTTACATATTATTATTTTTTTCTTTCTTATTTTTTTTGTTAAAAAAAATTTTGGTTTTTTTTTATAATTATTATTAATAAATTTGTTTATATAAAATTATTAAATAATAATTATAGTTAGTTTAGGGGGGTGGGGGAAATAATATAAAAATCTCTTTTAATAAAATAGATTTTCTATTATATTTTAATATATAAATTTATAAAATAAATATTTATAAAAATAAAATATTTCATTTATATTTAAAAATGCATTAAAAATAGGATAAAAATTGTGTTTATTATAAAAAAAGCTTAAAAAATTTAAATATTTCTCGATATGTAAAAAATAAAAATATATTACCATCATATAATTAAAAAATATATAGATTAAAAATAAAAAAAATACATTTAAAAGTATTAATATTTAAAATAATATTTCTGAGTTATGGTCAACTAGTCAGTAATATACTACGAATACATAAAACCAATAATAATAACAAGAAATGAATATGTAAGACTAATGTTGTATTTTTATGATGTATTTTGATAAATAAGGAGAAAAGTTCGCATATTCGAATTGTAATAAAAAATAACTAAAATTTATAAAAATATAATAAATAGAAAATAATGAAATAAAATTTTGGAGTACATTATTATAAAAAGAGTTATATACACTTCATGAAAACTCAGAATTTTTAACAAATTTAATTTTTTTTAAAAAAGATAACTAAGAATATTACGCTACATGTTCTTTAGATAAAAAAATTAAAATTTGGAAAGAATAAACATGCTTAAATACGTATTCTAGAAAAAAAAAAAAAAAAATACATACTTAAAAAAATAAAAGACTTACATAGCACTAAGATTGGCTAAGAGTTCTCTCTATTTCATCAGATAGTAATTTTATGTTATCTGGATGTATAAGTTCTTAAGTATATGGTTGGGATTTGAATAAAATGTAAGTTTTATTCACACAAAAACATTCAGAAAATAATCATAATGAAAATAATTAAATAAATCCTATAAATTGTTTAACTTTTAAAAATAAATCAAATGAATATTTAGTAGGAACACGTGATTCAATTGTGTAATTATATGATTTTAGAATTCCGACATAATTTTAATTATATGTAAATATAAAAATATAAATACTAGTATTATAATATATAAATGTATAATCATAGTTCAAGACACATACAAATAAATTAAATTCGTTTCAATTTAATTAAAATGATACATAAGTAATAACTGCAGGAAGAGACAATTCTATAAGAATATGGGACTTACGTTATATCGTAATAAATATATAGATAAAAATTAATATATATATATATATATATATTTTATTATATTTCAAATTATTAATATCAGAAATAAAGTAATTATTTTGATGAAAGTTAATGTGTTTAAGTTTTTTAACAACATAAATGTTAAGGATATAATATTCCAGCTTTTTATATTAATGGAGAAAAAGGGATTATTACTGGTTCTGAAAACGGGAAAATAATTATTTATGACATTTCTAAAGGAAAAGTAGATTATGAGTATTAAACTAAATCTAAAATTTGTCATTTGGTTCATCCTATTTCACTCTATAGTAACTATTAATTTGCTTATTCAGGTATTTAAGATAATTAAATATATTTTTATGGACCAAGTACAAATGGAACATAGTAAGAACAAAATAATTATTGCGAAGAAAATTAAATTAACAATTAAAAAATGGAGGATTTTTAAAAATTAATTAGCGAAAATAGTGATTTAATATTAGAAATATTTCATAAAAATAAGGATAATTTAGAAAATTCATGGCATGATATTTTACAAAGAGCATTTTGTGAAAATTAATCATAAGGAAATTTATTAAAAAAAATAGTAAAATAAATAAATAATAATTATGTTAATATTTTTAAATAATAAATTAAAGATTAATTAATTTGTAGAAACATTTTATTAAAATGATTAATAAAATAGTATTTCTTATTAAAAAAATAAGAAATAATATCAAAAAGAGAAGAAAAATGTAAAATTTGTTTTCAAAGATAAACAAACTAAAAAAAATAAAAATAGTAAAATTAATATTATTAATAATCAAATTATTTAATAGATCTTTATTATAATATTAAATAAATGAAAAATAAAT